ACATTAATATAAGTTAAAGTCAATAATTAATTATAAACACATATTTTATGGGATTTGTGATTTTTTCAACCACACATCTATCAACTTAACTATTAAAGAATAAATCTAATTTTTAACTCGCCAAATGGGGCTAAATCACCATATGGATGATAATTATATATTTCCTACGTCCCATAAGGATAAATTTGCTTCCATTTTCACAAAAATTAAGAAAATATAATTAATATAATTTAAAATATAAATTTTACTTACATTTTTCATAATATATCCTACATTAAATAATGGTTTAAATAGTAATAGTTTATATTTATTGATAATAAGGCAATTAAATAGGGAAATATTAGAAACAAAGAAATTAACTATACTGAGCAAGAAAAATTAACCTATAATTTTTAGAACACGTGAAAAAATAAAGCAAAATCTATTTTTATGGGGCATATGAAATATTAATAATGGGAAAAAAAAAAAAGAGGAAATACACAAAATTAAGAAAAATATAAAAGAAATCACTAACATACAAGAAACATACTCGACAGACCATATTGAAAAACACTACACGCAACAAGAACAACACATAAATTTTGTTTTAACTTATTTTTCTTGTCAAATCTAGCATTTCGACCATTTCATTAAAGTCCAGTGGAACCAATAGCTTTTGTAAGACCAAAAGATATTCCCATAGCCAACCACCCTCCAATTAACACCCTCAAGGAAGATCTCACAAGAGGTGCCCTCCCTAAGAAAGCCCCAACTCCACCAAACCCTAAAAGTGCAATACTCACGGCAGCCACCACCACCCCTAACCTTACGTGGTAGTCACCTATGAAAGCTGCTGACAGCAAAGGCACTATTGCCCCTACCATGAAAGCAAAAGCTGACGCTGCGGCTGCTTGAAAAGGGTCTGGCAATTTCTCTTTCTTGGCCTCATCCACATCATTTTTTTCAGCAATTTTAGTCATGTTCTCTCTCTTGAATTGTGCCACTTCTATGTCATATTGTGAGTACACGGACACAAATTCTCCGATGGCCATGCTACAAGCTCCGGACACCAAACCGGCTATTCCGGTGAGGATCATCGTCTTGGAATCCTTGCGGACAGCCCCAACTCCGATCATCAACGATGAAATTGATAGTAAACCATCATTTGCACCTAGAACAGCAGCTCTAAGCCACTGTGCTCGTTTTGAGTAATCATAAACTTCAACTTCTTCTTCTTCTTCTTCAAGTTGCTGAAATTTTTGCCCTTCAATATCATCATTCACAGCAAGTTCAATCTCATTTTCAAACTGTTTTAGGTCGATTGCTTCCATGGAAATTAGTGAAAGAGGAAGTTTTGAAGGGAGATTTAGGGTTTGAGATTTGCACTATTCTTGACTTTAAAATGGAGAAGTGTGGCAGACACACGCCATTAGGAGTGGATATTTATAGTAAGTTAATGGATACATGGTGATGCCCATAATTTTGTTCAGTGTGAGGAATCTAATGCATTCACACTGGAAAAAACAAAGGCGTTGCTTGTTTAGTAATCTAGGGGCAGTTTAGTAGCTAAAATTTAATACATTTTGATAAAAAATTAATGAAATTATGATTGAAAAGTTGATAAAAGTTATGAATTCATGAAATGTGTGTTGTAAATTAATTGTTCACTTTCACTTAATTTTTTTAAGCTACACCGAACATGTGCTAAGATAGTTTTCCCAAAAAAATAAGTTTATATGAAGAGTTAAATTCAATTCAAATAGAAGTTTATCAGTTTAATTTGTGATTAAAGATTAATGTTTATGCTTATGATTAAAAAATCAATTAAAATAGAACTCTATCAGTTTTATTTGTGAATAACGAATGATAATACCTCAACTTATCATTCTTAATAGTAGTCTGGTTTAAGAATCTAACAGAATTTATTTTATGTTCTAGTTTGTGCTAAAATTCTTGTCCTTTCAACTGTGAACGGGATTTCAAGAAAAACATGTGGTGAGCAATAAATAAGTTTTCTCTTTCAATATGACGATTGATTATATAATAGTATAAGAATAAACAACAAATTTTTTGAATTTCTGATCTGAAGTTTTGTGTCAAATATGTTATTATAAGGAATTTAATAATGTAATTTGCAGGTCAACACAAAGCCTAATAAAAATATAAACATAAATAGACATCAATAAATTTGTCAGCATAACGAATCACAACAAGCAATCACATTTAAATAATAATTACATCTAAAAAAAATATGCTATGATAATTATAGTACGGGGTATTTTTCTTTTTTAAAAGGAACGTGGCATTTTAGGACGAGTCTGGTAAGTTTTTCAAAAATAAAAAAGGTGGTTATGAGACTACCTTATCTTTATGGATCATGGAGTACTATAGTTGGATTCGATGGCTCTCCTAGAGGTCCCTCATCTGAGATCTATTAGCCTTGCCACAAGCTGCTAAAAGAACTACGATAATTTTTATATGAGTAAAGTATAGTGAAGTCCATGATCTTGTGACGTAATCTAGTTATGTTTCTCAAAGAAGTGTTTAACAAGGAAACTACTTTATGAACTTTAAAAAATCAGCACGAGAGGTTCAAAGGTAATTTGACTGCAAATTATGGGAAGAAAACAAATACTTCAAAGGAGACCAACATAGCTGAGAAATATTTGAGTGATGGAGATGTTTTGACGATTTCTGGCGTGGAATCCAAACTTGACAAGTGGATTTTGAATAAAGCTTGTGTGTTTCGTGTGTCCTAATCGGGATTTGTTTGAAACGTATGAAACGGTGATGCAATGAGTCATGGGTAACAACAATCCTTGTCGGGTAGCTGGTATCGGTAGAGTCAGATTAAAGCTAGTTAATAGAAAATGTAGAACATTTGATCACGTTCTTCATATTCCAAACTTGAAGAAGAATCTCATTTCGTTGAGTACTCTTGATTAAAAATGATACATTTTCTCTGAAGGAGGTGAAGTTTTGAGGGTTCGAAAAGGTGTTCGTAATATATTGGAGGGGCAAAAAGGTCTCAGTTATACATCTTGCAAGGTCGGGCAAAATTTGTGAAGAAAAATTAGCACTGATTTAATATCGTGGTGGAGATTCAGTTTAGTACTGTACTTTTGAAATTTGATTTGGGTCCGTATTGAAAAATAATACTCAATCGACTTTGGAGGATAGGGTAATTCCGCTTTGCTACCATTACATGTAGTTTCATCGTAGTCAACTGTTAGGGATAGATCCTTGGAGATAGGTACATGAATGTTGATTCAGTTGCATATGCTTTTAGCGTTTTTTTTTAAGGTGTTGAGACTAGCCAGGGCCTTTCTATAAAAGCATTGGGAGTTGATTTTGCTATAGGGTGTGCTTTGACACTGTTTGGTAATTTCTAATTTTTTGTGAATTTTGGGGAACCTGGTGTTTGGATTTATGTATCTGTGTTGAATACTATGGAAGAGGATGAGTATTTTTGTGTCGGAGAAAGTTTGAATTTTGTTGAAGAGTTCAAATTTTTCGTTACAGTCGAATTTATTTTTCCAAGTGGAGAATTTTGAAATTTCGTTCGTTGCATTGGAATTTATGTCAATGTGGAGATTGTTGAATTTTTTTGACCTAAATTAGGTTGGATTTTTTGAGAAAATATTTTTTATTCTTTGAACGTGTTTTTATTCGAAAAATATTGGGAAAATATTATTTTTTTTTTTATTCTACATAATTTTTTATCTTGTTTCCATCTTTGTGGTATTTCTATGTTTTGACATCCACCCTTTTAAATTCTAGACTCTTTTTACAAGTTTTGTATTACTGAAATCACAATTATTGTATTTGTTTTTTCCATATTGGTCAATTGAATAAAATACTCAATTCATCTGCCAATTAATTCTTTGTCTTTTATCTTGTCATTTGTTTGTGACTATATACTTCATATTGTGTCATATATATTACCTCGATAAACATTCTTTAACATAAATTCCGAGTTAAGAATTGTTATTTTAAATGATAAATTTCAAGATTTTTTTGTGTGGTTGAATTACCTTGCATTCCAAATTTCAAAATCTGGTCTCAATCCTGATCATAATGAAAGGGGATTATTATCAATAATCTTATTACCTAATTTTGTGAGTTTTCATTCAAAAAATGACATTCTTGACTGTTTTCAATTTTGGTGGTATTTTCCATTCGAATTTCATCATAGTCCTTGTCATCGCTTTCCACTTTGTCCTAAACAATTGTTAGAGGTTATGTGGGGGAGTTAAGGGTGGTTATGGAGGATTGTATATTTAATTTTCAAGTTCAAACCACTCCCTTCAACCATTCTGATGTCATGTAGATTGGAAATCACCTCATATGGTCGACCCACGACCCATATTATCGAACATAGTTTTAAAGAAACAAACGAAAAGACGAAGCAAAACCTAATTCTCCTTGCACTTTTTGAAACAAACAAAGCGAAGGACAACAAAAAAGAAATCACTAAATATATTAATACCAACACTTATGACATACTTCATATGCATTATTATCAATACTTTTAACATACATTTTTATTTTTGGTCGAATCTAGCATTTCGACTGTCATTATAATCCAGTTGAACCAATCAATTTGGTAAGACCAAAAGTGATTCCCATAGCCAACCACCCTCCAAATAGCACCCTTAAAAGAAGATTTCACAAGAGGTGTCTTCCCTAAGAAAGCCCCAACTCCACCAGACCCTAAAAGTGCAACACTATCGGCAGTCACCACCACCCCCAACCTCACATGATAGTTCCTTATAAAGGCCGCCGCCATCAAAGGCACCAATGCGCCGAAAGAAAAAGCAAAGGCCGATGCTGTAACTACTTGGAAGGGCTTGGCAATTTCTCTTTCTTGACAGCAACCATCTCGCTTTCTTCAACACTTTTAACCCTATTTTTCTCTCTTGAATTGAGCCACTTCTACATCATATTGTGAGTACACCGACACAAATTCTCCAATCACCATGCTACAAGCTCCAGCCACCAAACCAGCTATTCCGGTCAGTATCATCATCTTTGCATCCTTCCGACAGCCCCAACTCCAATCATCAGTATGCAGAGCTTTAAAGTTAGGAGGGCACAATCGAACTTACAAAGAAATTGAGAGAAATTTTACAATCGAAAATTTACGTCCAAAAAAATCATACCATGTGTAATTTTTCATCCGAAAATTTACATGGGGTATAACTTTTTTAGATGTAAAATTTCGAAAATTTTTGATGTTATATTTCATATAAAATTTTCCATAAAATGATGAAAATTACATTGAGAAATTTGTATCACAAAAATAATAAATGTTAATGAAATATATGCCTATAATGTAGTTCTCAAAATAAGTTTTGAGATGACATAAACAATTTGTACAAAATAAGTTTTGAGATGACATAAGAAATTTGTAAATTTGATTAACGTACGATCGTCAGAGAATTTTTAAAATTAGCATGTTATCGAAAATCAAATTTATTGTGATTTTGCCTCTATTTGGTGGAGATTAAAATCTAAATTTTGAGTAAATTTTGATAAATACCAAAATTAAACAATTATGAATTCCACGAAATATATTATCAAAATTAATTGTTAACTTTAATTTAGATTTAAATTTAGATTTAAATCGATATCAAACATAACTTTAAAAACAAAAACAAAAATTCTCAAAAGTTGGTGGAGGTGGGGCACGTGGACCCCCTGGGTCCGCCAGTGCATCAGTGCCAAAGTCGATAGTAATCTATCATTTGCACCAAAAACAGCAGCTCTGAACTATTGTGTCGTTTTGAGTTATCATAAAGTTCTTCAAGTGTTCAAATTTTTTGCTCTTCGATATCACTATTAACAGCTGGTAAGGTCTTGTTGGTATCATTTTCAGGTTCTTTGATCACTCCATGAATATTTGGGAAAGAGGACGATGTTAAAGGGAGAATATAGGGTTGGATATGGAGAAGTGTGGCTATTTATAAAAAGTTAATGGAGAGAGATATTGTTGACCCCAAAAAATGA